TCACTTAAAAATAATAAAATACATTTAATATGATTTTTTAAATATATTGCATTAGATTATTCATTTCAATAGAACAAGGCATTAAAGTGCATTTGTGCACATTCACATCCGCGCCCATTCACCATTTTTCAACATATCCATCAAAGAAATGGGACTGTGCACATGTGCATTACAGAGGAAGGTTAGGTGCATGCAAGCGCAGGGGTCATTCATGGTAATATCAATTGTTCAGGTTTGGTGGTTTGCAAGTGCTTTGTTTTTTATTATTATAATTTTTATTATTATTATTTGATATTATTATTTGATATTATTATTATTATTACTACTGCTGCTATTTCAAAACACATTTAAAGAAAATAAGGATTTCATTTTATACTAATATATTTTTTTCTGTTAGCACATTGTGGCATGTCCAGGCTGACAGTTTTCAGATGTATCTGACAACAAATACAAATACAGATTCTGAGAACAGGATTGCAAAAGATAATATTGATGCAGTTTTTGTTTATGTTATAACATGTGAGATGCCAATATGTTTTGTTTTTTCTCTATAAATCATTGCAATGACACATTTCCAATAAATACATTACTCAGGAAAAATGTGCAGCAATGTGCACTGAAACATTGTAGCAAAATATCTCTATTTCTGAGGGCTGAACACTTTTGAGCTGCAGTGCTTTGCAGTAATGCATGCGATACCGCAAAACATTACTGTGCATCGCATGCTTTAACATATTGCACTATTTATTTTGAATGGCACCCCTATGCACTAAGGTGGTGCAACTCCAACACGCACCTCAATGCACCATAGCGCACTACCATGGCTTGCGCGCAGCGTCAGTCTAAATGCAGTATGTCCATTTTTTGGTCTGTTCCTGTGTATTGGCATTCCATGCTGGCCATTCACACAGCGCACATTAAGGTGCTACACTACACGTGTTAATGCATGTGAGTTAATGTCATGCACAGGAATGGAGAAGTATGAATGGGCCCTAATTGTAAAATCCTTGCTGGTCTGTTCATGAGGAACATGTGCTTGGAAATAGTCTGCTCTGACTATGGGGATGTGTGTGTGTAAATTCAGACAATTGTTTGCACATTGTAGGTGTCTGAATTTCACATGCACACATTCCTCCACATTGCTTTCACTTGTGGTAAATCGAGAGGGGCTAGCCTCCCTGCATTGTCTGAGGTTAAATTACTGGATAACAAGCTTATGACTACAGTAAACTGGGTTCTGTATGTTTACATGATTATTTAAAAAATCAGAGTAGAAAAACTGTTGCAGATAAACAGGGCACAGGATGATCATCCATGACCATAGGAATGGGAAATTTCGAAGGAGCATGTTGGAAAATATTCCTCGAACGAATGAAATTCTAAAAGAGTATTTTGGGTTCCAATCGTTGATGATCAAAAATATTCATGGAGGATGCAATGCGCCTGTGCAAAACAAAACATGATCTCTCTCATCATATCAATTCCTCTGTGTCGCTTGATCGAACGTTTAAACTTCAAACATTGGTATTTCCCTCGATCGGTCGGTGATGATAGCTTCAAGCGGAAAGTATATTTTCAATAATGGTGGTTTTTCTATACCAGGGGTGAGCAAACTCCGGCCCTTTAGCTGTTGTGGAACTACAAATCCCATGAGGCATTGCAAGATTTTCACAGCCGCAGGCATGACTCCCAGAGACAGATGCATGATGGGATTTGTAGAATAATCACATCTGAGGGGCCGGAGTTTGCCCACCCCTGGTATACCCAATAATCTCATATAAACCCATCAATGCGGGCACATCCAGTCAGGAGCAAGGTGTGCTGTAGAAATCTATGAGCTTAGGAATCCTTTTAAAATATTAAATTAAGTGAATTTATTTCCGAAAGAATAAAGCGGAGGTTCTTAACCCTTTCACAATTACAGACCTCCCAATGGATTGCCCAATATGTCCCCATCCACCCTCATCAGACTGCCAAAATCCTCATCATCATCACCGGTCTTATTAGGTAACAATATGACTTTAAAAAATGTCAATAGCTTAATTTCTCTTTACATTTGGATAGTTAGGAACACAGCAGCTGAAAAAAAATTGTCATAATTGTATTTGTTTAATATATATATGTAGTATATAGTCGTCCTATGTTTATTTGCTCTGTGTTTTAGTTATCAGGATACATTCTTTACTCCCAGGTCCTACATTTATGACACCCCACTCCCCCCTCCTAACAACTTTCTCTTGCTTTAAGTGGTAAACTCTGTCATGTTGATTAGTATTGCTTCTGACCTGAAGAAGAGAGGTTAACTCTCGAAATCTTGTCTTTTAAATAATATGTTAGTTCAATAAGAAAGGTATCATTGCATGCTGCAATACTCCATTTTGTTTTT